CCCCTCCCTCCCTCTCCCTCCCCTCCCCCTCCCTCCCTGCAACCTTGGACCGCATGCCAGAAAGAGAGCGAGTTCTAATTCAGGTGGCTTCACAGAACAGTCTGGTTACAGACACCGGGCTGGGCTGTGTGTCTGGGTTCATCCACCCAGCAGCCCCAGCAACACTTCATGGAGGCGTCCCTGACAGCCCAGGCCGGTGAGAGAAGCAGTGGCCACAGCCTGCCCTTGAGAGCTGGGCAGGACCCATCACACCTGAACCCCAGCCTGTGGCTGGAAGTGAGGAGCATGCTGCTCTTGAGTGGGGGCGTCTCCCCTGTATCTGAGAGGAGCCTCCACCCCTGCTGTCCTCTCCCTGTGAGGTCCCTCCTGCCACTGACTGCTTCGTGGCACTAGGAATGAACCTGAGCTGCTTCCTCGCCCCAGCCCCAGGTCCAGTCAGGTACCAATGGCTGTTGCTGCTGTGCCCCCCAGCGAGCACTCCACAGTGCACCCCCCACCCGGTTACTCCCACTGACCCTGCAGGTCCTCGTCACTGTCCCCAGCTCATCACCCTGCCTGCACGTCAGCCGACACCCGGCCCAATGTACCTACCCAGAGCAAGACTCCCCATTGCCTGGTCGGGACCAGATGTTTCCTGCCCAAATCTGAACATCAGTGGTTCTCTCAGCTTAGAATAAGAATGCCCCTCTACTCCCCACCGTCCACATTCTCCAATCACATCAGCCCTAGTTAAGATCCTGCTCCTTCTAGGAAGTCCCCCCTTCTCCCACCTCTGTAAGCTTCTTTCACCTCCTGTTAAGAGCCTTGGCCCATAGCATCCCATGTGATGTGACCACCAGAGGACAGGATGGAGCTGCATGACACTTTGTACACAGATCTCAACAGAGGTGGCTGTATTTGAGGTTGTTGAGCAGGGCTACGGAACTGCTCTTCTTTCTTCCTAGTTCAGCTGCAGTAAAGCCACTGCACATGCTGCCAGGATCAGCTCCTCTTGTGCCGTGACTGATAGCAGCCCCTGTTGAAATGAGAATCCCTGCTGGTCAGTACAGTTCTGGAATATTTGTGCTGCAAGTAACTGAAATTTCAAGTCAAATGGGTTTAAATGATATAAAGGGAATGTACTGGTCCACATAACTGAAAAGGCTGGCAGGAGGAGGACTTCAGGTAAGGTTTGATCCAGCAGCTCAAATGATGCCACCACAGGTCTTAGTCTTTCTCAATGCCTTCTGCATCTTCATGCTCCACAGGGTGGTTGCTGTCAGCCTAACCTCACTGCTCTGCTTCCAGCACCTCTGGGCACTTCTCTCAATGCTATTTATATTGTTGCACCAATAGGCTCACTTCTTTGTACTGCATGGTTCAGAAAAGAGAGTACATATCTCCCAAGAGTTGGAACAGAAGTCTGAGGGGCCTGGCTCTCATAGACACATGTCCATTCCTGAACAATTTCTGTGACCAGGCAGATGAAATACTCTAATTGGCTCAAGACAATCAGGACCCACCCTGGAAAGAAGGGGTGGGGTCTATCTCCCCAAATCTCATGCCTCAGATTGAGGGTGGAGAAGTGGAGAGTGGTCTGCAAAGGAAATTCCAGGTCTGGATCACCAAAAGGGTAGATGGGTGCAAGTGTGAAAACTCCAGATGTCTACTATGGGTGGTCCAGACCTGTGAGGCATGCCAAGAGGCAGGAGCAGTGCCAGCCAGCCAGGGGCTGCACCCTAGCACTACTGCACCCTCAGGTGCTCGGGCTTGCCTCAGCACTGGACAGAGGACATCTCCTGTGAATGCTCAGTGATGCCCTGTCCTCAGCCTCGGAATGATCTCCTCCATGGTCCCCTCCAGTCTTGGTTTCCAGTCACTCTCAGTTGGGGTGTGAGCCTCCCTTGGGGCCTGCTCCCAGACCTGGTCTCTGCCCACAGTGGATGGAGCTGCTTTCCTGCTGAAGAAGCCCGAGTCTACCACCCAGAGAAGATGCAGGAAGAGTCAGGGGTCACAGGATGGCGTGCAAAGGGGCACACCCTCCCCTTAACTCCTCTGCCTTGTTTCAGAATGGTTCCAAGGGATCCCTGCTTTATTCCTGAGACAGCTGGCACACAGTCAACTGAAAAACCAGAGACAATGGGAAAAAAGTAGTGATTTTTTTCAGAAGTTTATTGATCAGTAGACTGTGTCTTTTTTTGACATTTCTAAACAAGATTACAAAAAAACAAAAGCATTGTGTATTAAATGCATTGGCTAATTGACACGTCACCTGGTTATACTCTTAGATTCTGCTCATGTTTACCTGGGAAAACTCAGTGGTTATCTGTCCTAAGAAAGTTATTTGCCACATTCCATGGAGGAAATAAACAGTGCCTCCTTAAATGCTTTCCTTATCTCCAAGGCAATCTGTCCAGGGTATTGTTCTGGGCATCAAGGAGCGTAGCCATAAAGCGGGAAGGTTCTGGTGGTGGCTGTCAGGCCATGACTCTGGTGGTTAAACCCCATCCTAGGCGGCAGGCTCCAGTACAAGACATTCCCAGTGTGGTGCAGGGGCGGCCCCCCAAGACCCAGCAGACATAGCAAAGGACCGTGGTCGGGACAGTGGGGCCAGGGCTCTGCTGAAGCCTCTCCTGTGGGTTTGTAAGGCGGGCAGCGGTTGGGGGAGAGCACGAGGCATTTGGCTTCTCGTCACATGCTCTCTGACCCACCTGGACACCAGTCCCATGAGATGGAATAAGAATCCAACTCCTTAAGGCCCACGGTTCTGTGGGAGGAGTCACAGCCCCCAATCCAGGCTTTATTGCTGCATGATGACAAGTGTTCCGGAGAAGCCACTCCAGCCCTGGAGAAGTGAAAGCCAACTGAATGCCTGGCCCTTCCCACAGAAGAGCAGCCCCAACCTGGGTCATCCAAGTGTGTGTGATGAGGAAAGAATCCATGTAGGATGCCAAGCGGGTTGGACATCAGCGTGTGGCCACAGAGCTGGGGGATCTCGGCAGGTCTCAGTGCAATGCTTCTGTACAGACGGGCTCAGGAAGGCCTCACCAGCAGGCTCACAGTTTGGAAGTCGACTTCGGGAGGAGTAGGCAGAAGTTTTCATTTTTTTCCACCTAAACTCAAGACTGCAGAAGTTTGTGTTGTGCGATACCGTGTGCTGTACAGAAAACAGACTCAAGATTCTTAGGTTTTCTTCTGTGAAATCATGGAGAGCATGAAGATAGTTTCAGAGTTCTGGAGTTTACCTACTTCCATGCCCCCTGCCCCATCCGTGAGCACTCTGCAGAGGGGGTACTTGGACAGTGGGGTGGTGCAGGGAGGACAATAAGTTCGGTCCAGGTGCCCAGATCCCAAGGGCTCCATGTTCCCGGCCCTGCTGCATGGGGTCAGGGGATAACAGGTGTTTTGGACACAGACTCGAGGAACTCTGTGTGGGTCCCGGGACGATATGGGTCCTTGCTTGGCCGCCATCCCTAATGTCTTTCAGTGTTTTTCTTTCCAATCAA